GAACATATGACTACTGTCTAGTTATATTAAATTAGATTTGATATATTATATTTAGTAAAATACAATAAAATCAGGTCTTAAAAAAAAAATTATAGCATAGGTCATAGATTTATTTTAATAAGTGTCGGCCTATAACTTTACAAACTGACTTATATTTTGCGATTTATTTTAATTAAAATAAAATAACTATTTACATAATTTTAATAAAAAATTAATATTATTATTCTTATTTTAATTCTTGATAGGTATTAAAGTTCTTATGGATTTAAATAGGCTAATAAATCTATGCCAAACCTTTGATTTTTGGACATACTCAAAATATATTTTATTACAACTATTTATCATAACTTTAAAAAGTGAAGCTTTATAAGCGTGAGTTTGGATCACCAAATAAAGAGAGCTTTCAATCTATTAAAAAAAAAAAGTTCTTTAACCTTGTAAATATCATTTTCATTAGCTAGTGTGATACTTGTATATATTTGAAGTTTTAGTGGACGTATCTTTTTTGTATTCTTTTAATTTTATATCAGTAAGATATAGTTATAATATAATTCTTTTTTTTCACTTTACACATCAACTGATATGATTGAGGAGAGAAAAAAAATAACTTTTTGTATTAACATTCTGTCTTACCAATAAAACATAATATAAACACACTAAAATGACACTAAAATAATATAAGAAGACTGTTATATTTACAAAAATTTTATTTATAAATTCTTACCAACTCTATTTTATTTGTAAGTGTAAAGAACCTTAGTATACACCACCTCAAAAGCTAGCTCAAAGAGTGAGAGTGCCTAAGGCCTTATAAAAGCCATATTAGTTGTCACGTAATCAATGTGAGACTATATATCTCAACACGCCCCCTCACGCAGGAGTCGCTAGAAGCGTGGAATTGCACATGCCCAATACCATGTAAAGAACCTTAGGATACACCACTCCAAATGCTAGCTCAAAGGGTGGGAGTGACCAGGGCCTTATAAAGGCCACATTAGTTGCCCACATAATCAATGTAAGATTATATATCTCAACAGTAAGAGTTCATAAATATAAAATTTATAAATATAAAGTCTCCTTTCGAATAATTCTTGCTCTAATTCTCCAACTTCAGGGGAATTTGCAAACATTCTGAAACGGAGATCACATAAACTAAATAAAAGGAATTGATTTGATTATATCAATTATTGAAGGTTCAAGTCGATTGTTGTGAACAAATTGTAACCTCAGTTTGCAAGATGAAGAGTTGATATGATGGTTGATGAATCGTAATCACTTATATGATGAAGGGAATAAGAAGTTTTTGCTGTTGAAGGGGTATAACCAAGGAACAAATACCTTATTAAAGCAATGCATATGTGTGCGCTTACGTTTATCGATATTGAACTAAACCAACACAAAAAAAAAAAAAAATGCAATTTGCTCATGAGTTTTGTCATTATATGTCCAGCATATCAAAAAATGGTATTCCAGCTAGAGCTCTGCATGGGTCAGGTCGGGTCAGGTTTTTGTCCGACTTGACCAAACTTGATTTTTATAGGTCAGGTATTTTGACCCGACCCGCTTTAATTTGATCCAAGTCAGGTCTGACTTGGATTGGATTTTGTTGAACTAGTTCAGAACCAGTTTGAATCTGACCTGACTTGGTTTCTGAAGTGGGTCTGACTTGGTTTCTGAACTGGGTCAAATCTGACCTGACCCTTTCTGAACTCGTTGAATCTCACTAGGATCATTGCCAGCTAAAACAACATCATCTACATACACCAATAAAGCTGTGAAGGAGTTATCAGTATTACGAACAAATAAAGAATGATCTTCTATGGATTGAATGTATCCCAAAGATTCCAGTGAATGAGTAAGCTTAACATTCCATTGGTGACTTGCCTGCTTCAAACCATACAATGACTTTTGAAGTTTACAGGCATCATTAGGAATGGACGAAGAAATCCCAGGAGGTAGCGACATGAATACCTCTTCATGAAGCTCTCCATGTAGAAAAGCATTGTCTACATCAAGTTGTTCTAGGTGCCAATTTTTGGCTACTGCAACAGCCATCAACACCTTCACCGTTGTCATCTTTGCAACCGAGGAGAAGGTTTGAAAATAATCCACACCTTCACATTGAGTATAGCCTTTAGCAACTAGGCGTGCTTTATAGCGATCCACAGTTCCATCTGGTTTCCTTTTTATTTTATACACCCATTTGCAACCAATTGGGCGTTTATCAGGTGGAAGAGATACTAAGGACCAAGTATTGTTCCTTTCTAATGCTTGAATTTCAGCATTCATAGCATCTTGCCAATGAGAATAAGAAGCAGCTTGCTTATAGGTGGTAGGTTCAGTTTCGATGGTTACATTGTGACAAAAGGTTTGGTGTGAAGGAGAACATTTTGAATATGAAAGAAAATCAGAAAGTGGATAATTGGGAGAAGAAACAGTACCTGAAGGATGATTGGTATGTGTCACACTTGATAAGCCACAGTTAAAGTCTGTCAGATATTGAGGTCTTGCTTTAGTTCTTGTAGAACGGCGAATAGATGGGTCATTGTTATCATGATTGACAGAATGATGATCAATAAGATCATTTTCTGCAGTGGTAATAGAAACAGGTAATACAATAGGAGGAGGTGCAGACATATGACCAAATTGATGAACATCATATTCAGTATTGGATTGTTGAACACGAGAAAAAATGGGGTTTGATTGAATATGAGAACTAATATTATGAAAAGGAAAATGAGATTCATGAAAGATAACATTTCGAGAGACAAAGATATTGTTAGAATGAATATCAAGCACTATGTAACCTTTGGTGCCCTGTCTATACCCAAGGGAAACACATTTTCTAGCTATAGTATCAAATTTGCTTCGATTGTGAGTGAGTGTGGAAGCAAAACATAATGAACCGAAGACTTTGAGGTGATCAAGGGATGGTGGAGTGTCAAATAACAAGTCATACGGTGATTTTCCTTTGAGATTAGGGGTAATTAATCTATTTATGATGAAAACAACATGACTTATACTATAGCACCAATAAACTCAAGGGAGATTTGACTGAAAAAGGAGTGCACGAGCTGTGTTTAACAAATGTTGATGTTTGCGCTCCACAATACCATTTTGTTGTGGGCATTCTACACAAGAAGTTTGGTGTATGATACCTTTTGAACTATAGAATTCTTTCAAGTTAAATTCTGGACCATTATCTGATCGAATAGTTTTGACAACTTTGTGAAATTGAGTTTCAACAAAAGATATAAAATTGCGCAGATGGGATCTTGTTTCAGCTTTGGTCTGCATTGGCATAACCCAAGTAAACCGTGAGTGATCATCAACCAAAGTCAAAAAATATCGATAACCACGAATAGATGTTAAAGCATGAGGACCCCATATGTCTGCGTGTATAAGATCAAAACAATGTAAAGATTCAGATACACTTAATGGAAAAGAAAGACGTTTCTATTTTGAATAATGACATACATCACAAATGTTGATATGATCATTACATGGAATAAAAGGAAAAACTTTTGACATAGTATTTAAAATTGAAGATGAACAATGACCCAGCTTATGATGCCAGATTCTTGAATCAGCTGTAATACTGTTGCAGCTGTTATTAGACTCGAAAATTTTATTCTGAACAAGACTTTCAAGCTGTGCTACAAGAGTGAACAAACCATTTTGTTGGTTAGCAGTACCAATCATCCTCACTGTGTTGTTCTGCATAATAGAACAGATTAGTGGTCGAAAAACTACTTGACAATGTGAATCATGTATAAGTTTGGTAATTGAAATAAGATTCACATGAAATTTTGAAACATACAATACATTTGATAGGGTAAGAGAAGCTGACAGATAAACATTTCCACAGTGAGCGGCAAATACTTGAGAACCATCAGGTAATTTTATGGAAATGGGATTAATTTGGCTTGGGCAAGAAAGAGAATTGAAGCAATATGTGATATGGTCAGTAGCACCAGTATCAAGTATCCATTGAAGGCTAGTGTTACCTGAGTTGGATGACACAACATTGGTTTGAACCATATTGGAATATACAACACTTTCTTTAGGATTCTGAATCAATCCCAATAAACTTTGATATTGGTCTTTTGTAAGGTGAAACTGATCTACATTTGCATTCTTTATCTCATCTGCATTTTCAGCACAGATGAAAGGATCATCATTATCTCCAGTAGCAAGATTCGTTTGTCTGTTGATGTTCACTCTGTTCTTGAAACCTGGGGGAAACCATGCTTCTCAAAGCATGTTTCAACTGTGTGATTGGTGCGACCACAGTGGGTGCATACTTTCCCAGGATTGGATCTTCCTCTTCCATAATTCGATCTGCCCATTCCTCTATAGGAGCTTTGGCCACGAAATTGTGATTCACGAAATTGTGATTGATCATTTACATTCAAGAATGCCTTTGCTTGAACAGTTGTTTCAACTCTGATTTTCCTTTCTTGCTGAGTAACTAATGAGAAGGCACGATTAATATTCAAAAGTGGCTCCATCAACATAACTTGGGATCGAACATGTGCAAATTGATCATTTAACCCTCTCAAGAATCGAATAACACGATCCTTTTCTCTACTTTCTTTTGCATGTGACTGCATCATTATTCCACAAGCACAATTCGGAGTACATTTACACTTTGGCAATGGCTGCAACATATCAAGTTCATCCCAAAAAGTTTTAAGTTTAGTAAAATACTGAGTTACATCATTATCACCTTGAGTCAGCTGATACATGTCTTCTTGAATGTCAGCAATTCTGAAGACATCTGTTTGAGAGAAACGTTCTCTGAGATCTTTCCATACATCAGACGCAGTCTCCATCCATACCATTGAATGTATGATAGATTTTGCAATGGAATGGTGTAGCCATGACAAGACCATTGTATTGCAACGATCCCACACCAAGAACAAAGGATCAGATTCTTGAAGAGGAGCTGAGATGGTGCCATCCACAAATCCGAGCTTATTTTTCGAACGCAGCGCCATCTTCATGGAACGGGTCCATGTATGGTAGTTCTTACCATCAAAAACTGGAGACACTAGCACCAATGAGGGATTCTCATTTGGATGCAAGAAATACGGACTTTGATTATTCTGAACATCCATCAACGGGGATGTTGAAGAAGGAACTTGACTCGCAACTGGTTGAGCCATTTACTCTGATCAGAGAGCTTACTGTAATGCGGAAGCGATGGACAGTGAATACCAGAGCTTTATCAAAGCTCTTATACCATAAAACCTGAAAGAAGATGAGGAAGAAAATAAAAGAAATACATTCTTATTGATTAAGTGATTCTGATACATGAGGATCACTACTTATACATGAAAGTAATCAAGAAAGAGAAAAAGAAAGTTACAACAGAATTAACTGAAATAACTGTAAAGGTAACTAACTAACTAACTAACTAACTGATATAGCTAACTATAAAAGGAAAGCTAACTACTGCTAATTAAAATAACTACCGCTAATAGTAACACAAATTCTTATTGCAGGTTAACATATTGGTGGATCTCAGCTTACATAAACTTTATGCATAAAGCAAAATCTGAAAACTTCTACAACAATCAATGTACAAAATTGTAAATCACCAGTGCCTCTGCTTTTCACTCAATATTTAGGCAAAGGTCGCTTGATTTGGGAGGAGCTATCTGAGTGTCATTCTCCAATGAACATGGAACAATGGGCAAGCAACCTTTTTGCTTATGCATTAAACGCCAATCTTCAATGTTGGTCCCTCGGCAGAAAGCCAAGTTGGGAAATGCTCTTTTTTCTAGCATTTCTATAATCTTCTTGGTTTTACCAAGAATGTAAACTGCTTGTCTGACACTATCCTCCCTCTCTTCAATGGCACTATTCAAACACTTGGTAGATATAACATGAGGTAAGTTAGTGAGACATGCACCCAATATATCAGAAATCATCACTGTTAGTGCTTCAAACAATCTCTTACTCGAATGGTCTTTCATGATTTCGTGATTTAAGAGAGTAGTTTTGCTTATTCTGTACATGGAGTTAGATGCCAATAATTTGATGGGCCATGATGAAGGGCCAACCCTCGCGCATATATTGTGATATTTGGCTTTAAACTTCTCATACCTGATTTTTGCAGCATCAACTAGTCTCTCAAGTGTCTCTTTGGGGCTCTTATCTTGAATGGAGAACTTATAAAGATCCACATCTAGCCACTTATCATAGAGATCAACTCCAAGCCACACAATTTCTGCTGCCTTTCTGACTTTAATTAATTTCCCTTCTTTGTCCAGGTTATTTTCTATGAACTTTACATAGGGAAGCCCTTCATTTAGAGTACCTAACAACTCTTTTACTGAACACCTATCAATGTTTGGAAGTGCAACTATAATGCTTGCTAGTGTCACCAAAGGAAGTGACCAACTATTTGGTGCTTCTCCAGCATGTAAAGAAAGAACTTGATCACTGTCAAATGCTCCCACTCCCTTCAATCCTTGCAAGATAGAACATTTCTCTAATAATTCCATTAGAAGTTTTGGCTGCTTTTTTTCTCCAAGTTGAATCCAGTGATTAGTGGCATCACGATTGTCTTTCATCATCACTTCAACTAGTTCTTCCTCACCTTCAAGATGCAGAACAAAACATCTTAGATCCTGCTTTTGCCCTGATCCCGAGCTAATGCTTGAGACACCACGATCAAATTTGGCTCTCAACTTCTTGCAATAATCGCAACATGCAAAGATATAGCACATGAAAAATATTGAAACGTATTGTGTTGCTTTACTCACTAGCACAATCCCTATCTGAAGTTTAATACAGAAACTCAATACAAGTATTTTTGCATCATGGGCCAATTTTCTGTATTGCTGATTATGAATTCGAAAACCAAGAGGGCTTTCTTTTATTAGCACCAACTTCTCAGTCCAGTAGCCTTCTAATTCGAATCTTCTTTTGCGGCTCTTACCCCTCACTAGTGGGCACCTATAAGTTATGGCAATGAACCATCTACCTGCAGGACCAATAGTACCCACTCCTACTGCAGCAACCTGAACTATGAGAATCAATATAGTGGACCATTTGTAGTCACACTCACCAGTACAAAATTTAAACGACCATGGCATCAAGTAAGATCGAAGCATAGCCTCTATTAATGTCATGGTACTTAGAAGACAGAAAGCACCAGATGCAGTACATATTACTGACCTTCCAAGAACAAATTGAGGGCTGCTGGTGTGTGCCATCATCCAAAACTTCATTAATTCATCTCTGAGTTTGTTGACGACATGATTAACCTCCCCCTCGATTTGGTTTGAGCTCTCTCTCAGTGCCACTTCATTGATCTTATATTTCATCTCCAAATGATGCTTCATCTTTGGAAGAGTTAAGGCAGAGGAAGTCATAGTCATCAGCAAAATGAGCATGAGTAACATGATGACAATATGTTCCACCCAGAATACATAGATAACACCGGTAACAAGTTGGATGCAAATATTCACAATCATGGTAATAACTAGTATGCCCATAGCCACCATGTTCATCATAGATTCTTTGTTCTCCGTGACACCAAGAGAAGGCATAGAGTTAGCCATTATTGTGCAGATCAAGGCACTGCTGCTAAGTTTTGCTAGCTGATCATGGTGATGAGGCATGGGGGTGTTCAGATCCACAGACAACTTCACTGCAACAGCTATCAAGGCCAAGGAAGTGGCGTTTAAGCAGAAATATTTGCAAGGGAACCAGAGTTTGCGACCACGAATTCCATATATGAGATCTGCAGCCATTGCTATGAAACATGCAAGAGATCCTGCTACTATGTATATGCCAATCCATGGCATCGGTTTGCTGAACTTGGTGACGTCCATGTTTCCATCAGTGTTGCAGCCCATTATTGCCATCTTTTAGGAAGTGATCTTTCTGTTCTTGGTCAGATATTACTGCTTCTGCTCCATAGTTATATATATATGTATATATATATATATATATATCAACAATCAAGCATCTAGCTTTGTTTCCGGTTTGGAAAAAATGATGTCTTTCCAACCACTCCTTTGTTTCACATCGGGTGGAATCACTTGACAATTCTAGTGGGAATTATTGATTTGTTGACTTATTGATCTAGTGTTATACTAGTGTAATTTATTGATTTGTGGTGATAATTTTTTTAAACACTATTAAAAAATGTTAATATAAAATAGTAAACGATATCTTGAGAAGTGAGAGGTAGAGAAAATGCAGACAAGTTAGGTGACTAAACGGCGAAAGTAAATTGACAATTTTGGTAACTAAGAAATGTTGTAGACTTTTTTTTTTTTTTTTTTTAAAAATATTTCAATCAATTTTGTGGGAACTGTAATGTGGTTCTTATTAAAATAAAAATAATATCAAAATTATTTTAAAAAAAAACATATATATATATATATATATATATATATATGTCATCACAGGTGTTATACTCTTATTGGTGGTACGTAATCACCGTAGTATATTAAAATTTTTCGAAATTGAGAAAGTGGAATGTGAGGTACTGGGTCACATCCTCTAAAGCATGGATACGCTGCTTTAAAAAAAAATTGCGTGTCGTATATGATACAGACACGCTCCAACACGCAGTCAACATTTAAGGATATATGATCAACTTTTGAACATGTTCTGACATATTTTTTTGACATGTAATCAATTTTTTTCGACACGCTATCAATGTTCGGACACGTTTTTTTTTTAAATCTTAATTTTATTTTGTTAACTAAATATAAAAAAAATAAATTATAAATTATTTTTTTTCTATTACGAAATTTGACATGAAAAATTAACAAAGTACGAAAAATTATTTATATTTATATTTATGTTATGAAATTTAAATATTTGATTGGTTATATGACTTATTATAGACTCTTATATGTATTAAATATAAATTATATTATATATATTAAAATTTTTATTTAATATCAAAACATGTCCCAACGTGTCAAAATATGATATTTTTTAGAATTAACATGTCGACGTGTCGTGTCCCGTGTCAATGTCCATGCATCATAGGTCACATCGACTGGAGTTTTTCTTTCTTTCTTTTTTTTTCACTTTTTCATTTTGGAAATGGTAACTGGAGTTTTCTGTTTTCAACCTTGGTGGGCTTTCCAAATTGTCTTTTATTCGTTAGAAATTTGACGCAAAAAACAATGAATCATACGTGCATAGTGATGTCATAAAAAATCTAATAAACTTAACATTTGACTTAAACTTTTGTGGCTTACAACTGTACAGCCGCCTACATTTACGTGAAATTCAAAAAATTAAAAGATAAATATGTATGATTAATTTATGGATCCTTTTTTCTATACAATATGAGATTTTTTTTTATTATAAACACAAGATGTGGTGGACTCCATCACCTATTAAAAAAAATTATTACACATAATTTAATATCTCACTAATAGAGAAAAGAATTCTCCTATAATATAAGAATTCTTTTTCTCTTAATTTATACATATAATTAACTTTTTTGCATTAACCAATTATAGACCTAAGTTTTAAGGTAAATAATACGAAAAAAAGTTTCTGATGTTACTTTAGATAACTTTATCTAATGTTTATTGAAACGACGTCGTTTTGGGGTTGAAAAATTAAAAAATTAGAGTGGTAAAGACTATTATAACCCTGAAATAAATTAAAACTACAAAAATACCATGATTTCCGTACCAAAATGACGTCGTTTTAATGAACATAAGATAAAGTTATCTAAAATAACATCAGAAAAAAAAAACCCAAATTTTTTTTTATCAAAAAACTTGACAGAAATACTTTTCGTTGAAAATTTTCAATGAAAATGTGTTTCGTTAAAAATTTCAACGGAACGAAAAATGTTTTCGTCGAAAATTTTTGACGGAATTTGAATTCTGATGAAATTTTTTTCCGTAAAAATTTTTCGATGAAAATGTGTTTCGTCAAAAATTTCGATGAATATGGTTTTTTGACGAAATTTAGATTATGTAAAAAAATTTGACCAAAAAAAATTTTCGTCAAAATTTTTTACTGAAATATTTTTCGTAAAAAAATTTGACGTAATTGTTTTATGTCAAAAATTTCGATGGAAATGTGTTTCGTCAAAATTTTGGACAGAAATATTTTCGTTCAAAGTTTCGAAGGAATTTAGATTCTATGAATAATTTTGACTGAATTTTTTTTCTGTAAAAAATTTATGTCAGTGATTAAGGCAAAATCTGGTTTCGTCTCTAATTTCGTTGAAATTTTTTTGATGTATATGATTTTCATCAAAAAAATTATCAATATTTTTGACGAAATATTTTTCGTCGATAAATTCAGTTGGTATTTGAGACCTTTCTAATAATGTCACTTTTAAAAATTATTCACATTTATGTAATTTTCACATTTTAATGCTAAGGGTAGATAAGTAATCCTTAAAACCTCCAAATTAGGGGAGCTTTAATTTTAAGGAAAATGAGGGTTTTGGAGGGTTTAGTAAAAATTTCTAATTTATTTCCCTCATTTTTTTAAACTCACAAACAAGAGAAGAATTTATTAAAATCCTCCCTTTCCTTTTTCTTTTCCTCCTACAACCAACTCTCAAAGTTAATAATATTTGGTTCGTTTTTTCTGCAGTTACTGCAGATAATTATCTGCAGTAAGCCCAATACGACGTCGTTTTGGGGCGGAAATCATGGTATTTTTGTAATTTTAATTTATTTCAGGATTATAATAGTTTTTATATTTATAATTTTTTAAGATTTCAATCCCAAAACGACGTCGTTTTGGAAAGAAATGCAGATAACTTATCTGCATTAACTGCAGAAATATTTTTCCCAAAAAATTTCCATCAAAATTTTCAACGGAACACATTTTTGTCAAAAAATTTTGACAGAAAATATTTTCGTAAAATTTTTGACGAAAAATATTTCGATAAAAAATTTTGAAAAAAATATTCTGTCAGAATTATTTGCATAATCTAAATTTCGTCGAAAGTTTCGAATTAAACTTTTCCCTTAAAAATTTTGACAAAACAATTTCCGTTGAAATTTTCGTTAGAACACATTTCCATCGAAATTTTGAATGGAAAACATTAAGGAACAAATTTTGACGGAATTCTTTTTTTGTTAAAAATATTAGATGGAGGAAATCATTTTCGTCAAAAACTTTTGACGGAAACTAAATTCCGATGAAATTTTTTATTGTAAAAATTTTCATCAGAGAAAAAATTCTGTCGCTTTTTGACGAAAAGTATTCCGAAAATATGATCGTCGTTTTTCGTCGTTTGCAACGTAGAAATTTCATCGAAAATATGATCTTTTTTAGTATTGCGAAAAATACATAAATAATTTTGTTAAAAATTTTAAATTTTATTTAATTTGTAAAATATAATAATTATATTGATTTTTAAAAAAAGGTAAAATGGTAAAAATATCTCATTAACTCTCCATTTTTCTCCCTTACCATTTTTTTAAACTCCCAAACAAGGGAAGGAAATACCTTTCAATATTCTTCCTTCCTTCCCCTCCTTCCCCCTTAGATTCCCTTCATTCCCTTCCCCTCCAAACTCCCAAACAAAGCTAAAGGAGAAATTTTTTTTATCATGGAATCATGATTTCCTTTAAAATGGTGGGAATGAGACTTTTTTCTGGAAAAGTGACAAAAAAATTGTTTGGTAGCCCAAAATTTTGTTGGGAATATTAGGTTAATTTTCCTGTGTCAATATTTGGTTGTTGATAAAATATTACTGGAAATGTGGACTAAATTTACAATAATAACCTGTTATTTTGAATAATCAGTTTACAACGTTTATTTGTCCGAGTCTCTCTCTCTCAATCGAATTTCAGACTCGTTATTTTGTGGGTGTCTACATTTCCCCTCATCAACTCTACATTTCCCCTCATTTTGTGGGTGTTGACTAGATAGCTTCCTTCTCTGCTTGCGTTTCTTAAGATATTCTTCATCATATACGGCTTCTCCAACAATATCATCATCATTGTCAAAGTCTGCCTCATTATCTAATACTGCGTCGACGAACTCTTTCTCTGAATACCGCTTAGGTTTCTGTCTTCACCGATTGCTGATGTAAAAAATAAATTATTAGTCAAAATTAGATAGAAGGCACCAGAACAGATTTCAAAGAAACAAGAACTACACACTGTCTATCCAAGATATATATGTCGTGAGTAACAACAGTATGAGTGAATGAATAAAAGGGTAAAAGGGACCCAAAAAATTTGTATAATTTATCCAAGAAATCGGATTCTCCAAATACCACATAATTTGTGGTCTTTGTTCATGGTATTTGTGGGTGTAATTTGCACTACAACCAAAAAGTTAGAAAAGCTGGAACCATGGGAAAGATTTTTGATTTCCTCTACCAAACATAGATATCTTACAATCCCAACCAAGCTTTTCTAGGAATCTAAAAAAACACTCCTACCAAACGCCCCCTAAGGGCTGTTTGGTAAGGTTTTTTCTAATAGATATTCAAGCAAATCAGATTGGATTTTCAATTTGTCTATGTTTGGTACAAATTTCACAAAAATTCAACCAGGAAAATCATTTCCCCAACATTTGTCATTTGTGTGTAAAATGTCATTAAAAATATTGTTCCAAAATACCACATCGATGGTGGTATTATGGGATTACCGGGAAAAGGAAAAAAAGCGCGCATTTGGAAAAAAAGATGACCCTGGTGTACTGATGAAAAGTGAGTCTCTCTCCTCTATATAGAACTCTCATACGTCTGCAAAAATATTCAGCAGGAAGCACGCAACTTTCCCTAATGGGTGTGTATGTGCTGAACATCGTATTCTTCTTTGTCGTTTGAAACCCAACTGAGGCATCAGAGACCAAAATAGTTGTGTTAGAAATATATTGTAATTAGGGTTTCCTTATTCTGTATTAGGTCAGATTACATTAGGTTTGGCCTTAGCCCATTAGTCTGTTTATATATTGTACAGCCTTCATCAGTCAA